ATTTTACAAAAACAAAATTAATTTTGTTTTAGAGGCTTAAAAATGCGCGTTCACTACAACAAATCATTAATAATAACAACAAACTTTGTTAAAATAATTATTTTATATCGAAATAAATAAATATTTACCACTTATTAGAACACCTTATTCGTATTCGAAAAACTAACCAACACTTAAGAAAAACCTACTTTACCGACTTAACATAATTTTTTAATAACCTTCAAAAAAAGTCAATTTATATTAATTATAAAAAAAATCATGTTTTAAACCACAAAATAAACATAAAAATCATAAAACATTTACAACAACAAACCTAATTAACAACTTTAAATAAATTAAACAAATCTACTTTACCGACTTCAAACACCAATTTTTGACATTTCACAATTTGTACCAAAACACAAAATAATCTTTAAAAAAACACATTTATAAACATATTTCATAACTTAAAATGGTAACGTATATCTAAGAACCCTCCCAACACTCCTAAATTTTTTAGCTGCTCTGAGTTTTGGGTGATTTACACATCCCACATCGATGTAGCAGCCACCAGGCGAAACTTAAGAAGCTCCTAGCCCCCGGACGAATACAACACATCTTATGCATGGGAAATTTAAGTACCAAAGAATAGTACGATTATTTGAAATCGTTAGCGAATGATACTTTAATGTTTTACTTTATACACATTAAATTGTTTTAGAATTTAAATTATCCCGAACAAAAAGTGGTTACGGTGGAGCAATTCCGAATTGGATTAACACGGTCATCAAGTTGTACCGTGGGGCGATCCAGACTCTTTATTACTCATTATTTAAATAAAATCAATTTATAATAATTTTGATATTTTGAGGTTAGGTTTTACAAAAACAGTTTTTGTTTTACAGTCTTAAAAATGCGCGTAAACAACAACAAATCATTAATAATAATAATAAACTTTGTTAAAATGATTATTTTATATGAAAATAAATAAATATTTACCACTTATTAAAACACGTTATTCATATTCGAAAAACTAAACAACACTTAAGAAAAACCTACTTTACCGACTTAACATAACTTTTTAATAACCTTCAAAAAAAATCAATTTATATTAATTATAAAAAAAA